AGAAGGTGAATGAGGATGACCTACCTGCAAATACGTGGGTCGTGATGCGTGTCCTGTCTCGGCCCCTCAGGTATGACATGAAGGTCCGCGAGCTCGGCGCCACCCAGAATGAGATGCGCGCATCCGCTCAACGAGAACAGGAGCTGCAGACTAACGTATGTGCACACAAATGTATCCCTCAAGCCATCCATTAGAGACACATCCTCTTTTCATCACTAATCAGATTCGCGACAAGACTCGGGAGCTGGGTGAGTGTCAGCAGCGACTGCGGCACGTGCAGGGCGCCCTCGAGCAGTCGGAGAAGGACAGGCTGGAAATCAGACAGAAACATGTCGAAGTCGGGGAGAAATTCGAGCGGTAAGTCACTCATGCAATCCACACCTAAGGCGCCTCACCCAAGCGGTTTGTATTATGTGTACAGGTACATCCAGCGGGTGGAGCGTGAGAACAAGGCCGCTAAGGTATCTACCATACACACACACACGCAAAGCCACAGGTGGATGTGTGGAATGTGGATGCCCGGCTTCGTTTGTGCAGACTCAGCTTGTCCAGTACAAGAAGCATGAGATCAACTCCATGGTCAGTCAGGTGCATGGCATGAATGGATGAGTGAAGCTGGACCACCTGCATGCCATGCTGACGGCCTACGGCTGTCGTGTACCATACAGACGGAGATCAGCACGCTCAAGAAGCAGTTGGTCGTCAGTGAACAGGAGCGGGAGAATCTACTCATACAAATCAAGGTGGGTCAGTCAGACACACCGATGCACTCTCTGATGATGCACAGATTTCTCGCCTTTTTCTCTGTGTCGGTATCAGAGCTTCTTGCTCGAGCTGGAGCGCCGCGCTTATGTGTTGGAGGCCGATAACCAGGCCAAGGCTCGCGAGCACGAGCATCTGATGAAGCAGCTGGCGCTCGCCGAGGCGCGCAAGGACCAAATCCCGCTCGAAAAGCATCAATCCATCCTGCAGCAAGACATATGAGCAGCTTCCAGAGCCAGACGCGTGGATGTCATGTCTGCGTATGTGCGGTATTTATTGTCTTGGCGACTGTAACAGGACCGCTTGACGACTCACGACTCTCGACAGTGCCCGATGGACCATCTGCCAACGCCGCCAGTGCCTCCCGATACTCGAAGCCTGGGTGCAGGGACGTCAACGTACAAGCAGGGGTACACCCACAAGGAGGTGCCAAGGACACAGGCAGTCGTGCAGCCGCCCAGGCCTTACGCGCCGCTCAAGTTCGAGGGCACCTCCACACACAAGTTAGTAGGCCGAGGAAGGTGTCTCATGCGCTGGCTGCATGAGTGTGTGCGCGTGTTCAGAGCTGACTATCAGCAGTGGGAGCTGCCCCCTCCCAGGCGCCCTCAGGCGGTCAACGAGCTCGTGTCTCTGCCCTTCCAGGGCGCCTCCACATACAAGGTCACACACACACACACACACACAGAGAGAGAGAGAGAGAGAAGAGAAATCACCATGGAGCCATGCACCTGCATTGCCGTGACTCTGTGATGGTGTCTGTCGTGTCAGAATGACTTCGATCACAAGGTGCTGTCCGACAAACCCCACGCCGAGAAGATGGAGTGGACACCCAAGTGAGACGACGAGCATTTATCGAGGCAGCCAGCCAAGGCGACTGTTGTCTCTCCCTCTCCCTCTTCCTCTGCCTCTCCCTCCGTCTGTGTGTTGTGCAGTCCGGCAAAGTTCGAAGCCGTGTTGAGCTACCGCGAGTCTTACGACGAGAAGCCCGTCGTGCAGGCCCGTAAGTGAGAAGTAACAACAGAGACAGACACATGTCGATAGATACGCTGGTGGATGGCGGGCGGATAGGATGGATTGGCATGTGTGTGTGTGCAGCGCCTCCTCTGCCGTTTGAGGGCACTCCATACAGGGATTGTGTGGCTGAGGTTGTGTGGCTGGCAGAACTCATGTCGTGAACACATGTGTTTTGGGACACTTATGTTATCTCTCAGCTGAATGAGCCTAGACGTATAAGGGCAGGGGGAGAAAGACTCCAACATCAGGGGCCCGACAAACACAGTCATCTCACACTAAGGCAGAACTTGTTTTCCTTTACCCTTAGGATCAAGAGTCGAGGGAGCGAATGCCCGAAAATCCATCCATCCATCCATCAGAAAAGTGCCCATCGGGTGCCAAATCACATCGCCTATCGCCTTTTGCAGGCTGACATACATGCCTATGTACAGCAGCTGACTGCCTATGTCTCCACCCATGCATGCATCATCTAGCCCTGTCTCTTTCTTTGTCCCTGCTGGTGCAGTGTGCCGCGTCCGACAGATACCGCCTGGCGGCCTCGACCGCCGACTGCCGGAAGGCCTTGTCGTGATACTGATTCACACAGACACTGACCTTAACCAACTATGTCAAGCACGTGCTCAACCGACTCGACAAGGGGACGATCTGCCCACCCGCCAAGCCACACGCCCACAAGCCACCGATGACCCCCCCCGCCGACAGACGAGCGTGACTGACTTGATCTCTGGGCTGGAGGAAGCGTCTCTGCCGGAAGGGGCCGGACGTGGATGAAGGCATGTGTGGTTTGGGTCGTGTCTCGATACTACTTCGGAGTGCCATGCTCTTTTACGTGTACCATGCTCTTTTTTGCAACCTCTGTGGTACGTTACATTCTGTGGAGTGAGTGACTCTTTTTCAGATGGAGGGATGCGGTTGACGTGTGGGTCGGATTTGTTGTTCGAGGGGCTCGACGGATGGATGGATGGATGGATGGATGGTCGTACAGTAGACGGGAGGGAGGGTAGATCTGTCGACTTGCGTGAGCGGGCACTATATGTCTGTGGTGTGCAGTGCAAAGGCTCAGCTCGGCTGGGATTGACATCATCGACATCAATGCATACCAGTGAAATGAGCCATCCATCAGTGCAAATCGGTAACACGCTGCATGCCATATCTTGTCCTTCGGTCGAGATCAACCGTCCTTGGGTCGAGATCAAGAAAGCTCGCAGTCTCCCCCCGCCCACAGGTTTCCTCTCCTCCCAAGAAGCACAACCCGATGGTGAAGAACCTTGTGAAGAATCCCTTTATGGGATTCGGTGGTGTTCCGCCGGAGGACCAGGCAAGCAATGACTGATAGCTGCC